GGGAGCGAGGCTGGGGCTGACACCGGGCAGGGATCAGGTCCAATGAACCCATGCAGCTGCCCCTTCGCCTGTGCCAGGGGTCATTGCCCAGCACCGGTGTCCACCAGCCCCCAGCCCTGCGCTGGCCCTCGCTGCCTCCCAGCACCAGCCCTGGTCCTGCCCCAGCCCCGTACCGCCTGGGGGGGCCTGAAGCTGGAGCAGGGCCAGCTTCAGCTGCACCACCAGGCCAGAGGAGATGGAGCCCCCGGGAGTCAGGACCCCCACCCCACCCCACCCTGTCTAGGTCATCCCCGGTAAGAGCCCGGCGGCTCCTGCAGAGTCACAGCGCTGGGGAACCAAGGGGGGCACACGGCCCCCTTGATCTTTGCACAGGGCAAAGGCAAGCTGCAGCTGTGAGGCAAGCTAGGCTCTGCCTGCTCTGCTCCTCGTTGCAGCCTTTGAAAGCGGCGCACTGCCATGTGTGTCCTGCCGCTGGACGGGCCTGGCAGCGAGGCACATGGCGCTGTGCCATGCCGGTTTCAAAGGCTGCAGCAAGCTACAGAGTGTGCAGGCCGGGAGCGGTCCAAGGCTTTCGGGGGCGCGCGGCAGGCTGTGGCCAGCAGCCCCGGCACGTGGGTCGGGGAATGCAGGCCGGCGGACTAGAATTAGGCACGGACGCGTAGCGGTTGATTAAAGATTATTTTACTTACACCGTAGATGGTCGCGGTGCAGGCAAGATTAGCTTCGCTTAAGTTGCAGTTACAGATAGGAAAGAAGAAGAGCGGACAAGAGTTCTAACCGTGAATTCTAGTCCAAGGCCGGCTGAAAGCTCTAGAATTGCGAGCCCGTCAAATCAACCAGAGAAAATAACTCGAAGAGCTCTGGATACACACACACATGAAGTTTGCTAGGCTCCGTGGAACGAGCGCGCAGGGAAGGGTTCGTCAAGGGATTAGGCAGCGACGGGGAGAGGCTAGAGGTTGATCAGGCCCCTATATCCTTCTTAAGGCACACGCTAGGCTTGTTAGGCTCCGCAGCGCTTAGAGTTCTTCACAAGATGTGAAGTTCTCCTTCTCCTCCTCCAGATAGTTGTGGAGTCCTCCAACTTGGGCGGAAACCACTCAAGCCTCTTATACGGCTAGCAAGCCAATCGCTAGCCACCACGTGGGAATACTTTAGAACTGGCCAATAATGGGACATAGTGGGACACAAATTTGCATGCAAATGGCGGGAACTCCTTTGCACTGGGGTTTTCTCCATGCAACTGAGAATTGCACTGTGCAAAGAAAGCTCCTCGTGGCGGGAAATAATTCTGCAGTGCCAAAGCACATACAAAATCATACCCTTGGGTTATGACACAGAGCAGGCAGAGCCCAGCTTGCCTCACAGCTGCAGCCTGTCCTTGCCCTGTGCAAAGATTGGGGGGGGGGGAGTCCATGTGCTCCCCTTGGCTCCCCAGTGCTGCAACTCTGCAGGAGCTGCCAAGCTCTGCTTGTTCCACAATTCGGCTCTGCTTGGGCTCCATTCACCATGAATGGGGCCCCGACCGGGCCAGGCTGTGGGGCAATCAGAGCCCAGCAGCTCGTCAAGGGATGTGGCACGTTGGAGCCAAGGGGTTGGGGGAATGTGTTGGCCCTCCCCCACAGTGCACGCAGTGGCAGGACCCACCGGGCTCCAACTGCCCCATAACCCAGCCTGGCTGGGGCCCCATTTTCCTTGAATGGGGCCCCGGCCAGGCCAAGTCGTGGGACAATTCCCACAGTGCAGCAGGGACAGGGGTGAATGATTCGTCCCTGCACCTACCCCGCTCCCTCCTGTACTGTGGGGTCTTGATATCCCCCCACACCAGCCCAGAAACTAAAGGAAGAAGAAACCTTACCTACCTGCCTGCTGTGCTGGGTTGGCTGTGACCCTGGCTCGCCCCTCCCCACTGCTGCAGCAGCCTGTGGCCAAGATGCCGCCGGTGCTTCTCTCGAGGGGGCAAGGCCAATCTCAGGGGGTGCACGTGCACCCCCTACATGCCACCAATGTCCTACACATTTCTATCACAGAATGAGGTACATCTCATCCAATGAGCTAAATGCCCTTGTTGAAACTATGTAGGTGAAACTAGTCAAAAACTGCCAGTACGCTCCAGAATAAACTATCACAGGGAAGAGATAAAGGACAGAGATACAATCAGCAGGATGCTTTTCACAGAACGACTCAGTTTCCGACCTTGAAAGCCTTGTACTCAAAGGAAAGTTACAAAGCACCTCCAAAACACAGGCCTAGGAACCAGAATTCATAACCTTACTGGACACTAGAAAAAATGGACTGTACACAGGCTTTATAACTTATTTCAACTACCCGCTATCTCTATTAAACCCTCTGTAGTCCATAAGTAATAGAGGACCCTTTTCCTTCTTGGTCTTGCTCTTCTACAGAATCAGGTTATCCATTCAATTACATTTCCCTTGGTTTTAAGCAATCTCTGCTCGCTCTTTTTTTTTTTTTTGCGCCTACTTCCCAGACTTCCCCCATTCCTTAAGGGTGCATACACATGTGCAAGCTCTCTGACAATTAAGCTGACTTCACTTTTTAAAGTTGACTTAACTGTCAGAGCATACACACTTATGTGGAGCAGAACTGACTTCACTAATGCAAATGGAGATAATACAACTTAGAAGTGTATTATTTGGCACCACATTTGACTTAGCTCACAAGAAAGCTGCCACCACAGCAGAGCTGTACATGTACACATGGATGCTGACATGGCTTAAATCATAGTGGACTTAATTAAGTTGATTTAGGTTGATTTAGCTGTCTTATTTTAAGTTGACTTAATATGTGTGTATGCACCCTAAATGCCTCTTTTAATTTGCTGAGTTGAACCCCCCCCCCCCCCCCCCCACCAGGCAGTTTATTCAGCTTAGCCTACGCGTATTTTTTTCTCCAGACCTAAAGAGCACTGCTTTGGGCCTGAAAACCTGTTGCATTTCTCCCTCAAGCGTATCATGAGCCCAGTAAAAGATACCATCAAAAAATGTCCTCGCCTCATAGATTTCCTGGAGCGTGGCAGCTACAACAGCACTCAAACCCAATGGTTTTTATGCCAGGCTGAGTTGCTGCTGTCTGGGATGAGAGCGGCTACTACAGAGGCATTCTGTAAGGATCTGCGCCAACAGCCCCTTGCACCACAGGGAGGGTTCAGGGTTTGTAACGAAGGGAGAAAAGGTGCTGTTTTGCGCCGTTTCATTTTTGTTTTTTCTTTTAATGGACAAACTCTGCCTTTAGG